ATATAGCGTCATTTCCACATTGCACTTCTGAGCACCTTAGGGAATGTGGTGTGGTCTCTAAGTCCCAGAAGCGGCAGCAGGAGGAGAGATGAGAATGGAAGCACTGGGCAGGGGTGGACGGTGATGAGTCATGCTCACTTTACACACCAGTCAGAGCAGGGGAAACCCTTCCTTGTGACTTACGGATGCACCAGATGGTCACCCCAGACCCCCAGCTGCATGGGCTGGACTAGGTCTCCCTGCACCACACTTGAACGCCAAGCAGGAGCACCCTCCATTGACTTTTGATGCTTCCTGCATCATTCAATATTTGCCCATGGAATCTTCCAACATTGAACTCGAGGCTTGAATTTGTTTGTTCTTTCAGTTTAAGACATGCTGCCTGTGTGCTTCCCTTTTGATTTTCTTTCTTGTCTTTTCGGCGAACTTTTGCTTTCTTCATGGATAATATGCTTGATGTCCTCCCACAGCTCATCAGGCTTTCTGTAATTAACGTTCAATGCAGCAAATCTATCTTTGAGATGGTCTCTAAATTCACACAGGATAGACTCAAGGCCGTATTTTGGATTTGGGAGATGTGTTCATTTTCTTCAGCTTCAACCTGAACTTACAAATGAGCAATTGATGGTCTGTTCCACAGTCAGCCCCTGACCTGGTTTTAGCTGTTAACTTCTCCATCACCTCTTCCAAAGTTGTAGTCAATTCGGTTTCTATATATTCCATGCGGCGAAGTTCATGTGCATAATTAATGTTTGTGTTTTTTTTAAAGATATTTATAACGATGAAGTCATTGGTCTTACAAAATTTTATCATACAATCACCAGCTTTGTTTGCATCAAGACCATATTTTCTAACTACTGTTTCTTCCGCTTGGTTTCCTACTTTTGCATTCCAATTGGTAGTAATTATCAATGCATCTTGATTGCATGTTTGATTAATGTCAGATTTAAGACATTGATAGAATTCTGGACCACTAGTTTTTTGTAGTTGGCGCTTAAATTTGAATAATATGTGTATTGACTGGATCTCTTTGTATATGATTAGACATTATTCTATCACAGACTGCAAGATAGATTTTGAAATCTTTTTGATGATGAATGCAAGATGAGTCCTTGTGAACTGATCATTGCTGACATAGTGAACCATGTGACTTTCTGATTCAAAATGGCCAATATCAGCCCACTTCAGCTCACGAATGCCTAGAATGTCAATCTTTATGCATTCCATTTCATTTATGATAACTTCTAATTTTCCTAGATTCACACTGTATACTTCCAAATTTTGATTATTATGCTTGCCACTGTTATTTCTCATTTTGATTCGTGCTCCGTCAGCAAATGAAGGTCCTGAAGGCTTTACTGCCACCGGCTTTACTCCATCCCTATCACTATGGGGAGCTCTGCTTTGAGAAGGCAGCCCGACCTTGGTCACATTTTGAGTGGTTTCTGACCTGAAGGGGCTCATCTTCTGGTCCCATTGCTGACAAGGCTCTGTTTCTATTCAGAAGGTTTTTGTAATCTGACAATGTTTTGATGTTATCCATAAGGTTTTCAGCGATCATTCCTCTAAAGTGGACAACCCATGCCTTCTTCTTAGCCTGATTTTAGTCTGAAAGCTCTGCTGAACCCTGCTCCCTTTGGGTGAGCCTGCTGGTATTTGATATGTCAGTGGTATCACAGTAACACACAAGCCACCCCAGTACATCAAGGTGACAGATACGGGTGGAGGGTGGGGGTCCAGCCCCACAGTAGAATGAGCCCCAGGAGGGACGTGCACCATTAAAGCAGACCACAAAAGGGGCGCAGGGGACTCAGTTCCCCTCTTGGGAGAAGCGAGAAGAGGGAGATGAGGCCAGAGTTTATTCAACAACGGGTTTTTGTAGCTCTTAAGGCCTGCAAGCCTCTTGTTAATCTTATACTTCCAACAAGTGGGCACTGTACATTCAGAGGGAATACTTCAAGGGGAGTACGAGGCGTACAAGAGACGAGAGGAGCAAACGTTATTTAAGATAAGCATCCTTTATCTGTGCACGAGAGGAGCCAAGCGTCTATAGAAAACAACTTCATCTAACCACTTACGGGGAGCAGGTATGCTGTGGAGAAACGTCTTTCCTGGAATAGTGCGTATTGCGGTGCTTCCCGTCGCTCAGTGAGGAGGCCTGCCTCACGCTAGGGATGGCACGCCAAGCCCGTGGTCCCCAGTGCCGGGAGTGGGCCACATCCGCTTTCTTCCAGGCTGTCAGTTTCCCACAGTGAAATTCGGGCATGTTTTATGACAAACCTTTGTCTTCTCAAGCTGCCCTTTGAAATCTTCTGCTCAGCGCTTTGGCTCCATCTTTGCTTCCATTGGCCTTAGCTCCTCTAGGTGCAGAAACAAGCTCCAGAGTCTCCTTGCGGATCTGCTACAATCCTTTCTTGCTTGCTTGTCTTGTGAATGGCCTCTTGCTGTTTCCAAGTGTGTGTTCTTGATGCTCTCCCTCAGCTCCCCAGTGCTGACTCGGCTTCCAGGAAGGACATTTTGAGGGGCTTCCCCCCTGAGGGATCTCATCTGCGGGCACGCCATCAGACAATGTTCTACTCCCGTTCCTACGTGGTTCAAGATATCCGATGATGCCCCCATGCTAGCTATGTAAGGTTGCCGGTAGAGAATCCCTCAGCCTGTTCCTCTTCTTGGTCTGTAGTCTAGTCTTCGTCTAGAAGCGTCACTGAAACCTGCTCCCTTTGGGCGATCCTGCTGTTACTTGAAATGCCAGCAACATCGCTTCCAGCGTCACAGCAAGGTGCAGACCACCACAGCGTGACAAACGGACATATAAGGGTGAGGGGGTCACTGGCAGACCCCAGCGACGAGGAGAGAGTCCCTGTGGGAAAGGTGGCATGGTGGAGACCTTGATCTGGAACACTTAGCCTCCAGGGCTGTGGGAGAAGACATTTCTCCTTTTTACAGCCATCACCCCTCCCCCCATGGTGGTTTTTGTCATGGGGCCACCCAGGCCCTCCCCACTTGCAGAAAGCAGAGATGAATGGCCTGCGGGTTCCTATGGAGACATCTGTGATGCCACACATACTTCCAAGCATCCAATAGGATGTGGGCTGGCAGAGCTCGGCGGCTGGCCTTGTCCCTGCCCGTGCCAGTGGGCAGGTCCAGCAGGAGACCACGCTGACGTTGACACCCGGCGCCGAACCGAGGGTGGCTTTGAGCAGTGGTCGGCGTCTCCTCGTCCACGCAGTAGCTTCAGCCTCCCTTTCTCTCCTTCCTGATGTTACCCACAAAGGAAGTCAGCCCCGCCAAGCGGGACAACGCACCCAACACGATGGCGAAGGGGCTGGCCTCGCTCCACTGTGTTGCCCGCCGGGTTTCCAAGACCCCGGAGGGGAGGTGCTCCTTCCACAAGTCAAAGCTGGTACTAAGCCGCGGCAAGCAGAAGGGGGGAAAGGCCGGAGTGTCTGGCCGGCCCGACTAGCCCAGCGCCCAGGAGATGGCCCCTTGCTGAGTGCCCGCCCATGGCGTTGGCAGTGTTGTTGCTGTTGTGTGCAGGCAAGGGGGTTCTGGCCCACGGCAAGCCCATGAGATAGAGGGGAGCTGCCTCCTAGGCCGTCCTGGGCCTGTCATCTCCAGGGGGACAGCTAGCCAGGCCTTTCTTCCTCAGAGCTGCCGGGTGGGTTCCAACCACCAGCCAACCTCGCAGCTTGCGGTCAAGTGCTTAACGGTTGCACCACGAGGGCTCCTTTGTCAAGCCCTTTTTAAAGATCCCACTGACGCTTAGCAAAGCCCCACCGCAGAGGAGGACCGAGGCCCAGGAGAGTTGCCAAGGCCACACACCTTCATGGAAGCAAGCTGACAGCCGCCTCTTTGGTCTTGAACCACCTCTGCGCAGCAGCCTCGAGACTTAACCATTGTGTGCCAGGGCTGCTCTGGCCAGCCCAGAGAGCCCCAAACCAAACCTCCTGCCAGCGAGGCGATTCCAACTCAGAGCCACCCCAGGGAGGGTTTAGGAGTCTGACTGCAGACAGCCTCCTCTTTCCCCCAGGGAGGGGCTGGTGGAGTAGACCCGCCCCCCTTCCTCAGGTCCTAGCACCGCCCACGAGCTGTGGGCGTCAGGAGGGAAATGGGAGTGTTCCCCAGGTCGCCTCAAGAAGGGAGAGGCCTTGATATGGCAGACCCTCCTGTTCTCACCCATGCGCCTATTGTCTGGGGGGCGGGAGCCCCAGGTCTCCAGCTTTACGGAGTTCTCCCAGGGAATTCGCTGGTTTGGGGCCATGCGGCCCTTGGTGGGCCGGGCCAGCTTTCCCTGGCTGGTGCAGCCTGCACCCTGAGGGTCTGGATCCCAAGGCTGGGGAAGGAGACTGCGTCCCCCGTCCCCCGAGGTTTCCTTACGAGGTGCCTGGAGAAAGGAGGAGGCGTGACGGGTGTGGGGGCACAGCACCCACCGGGCTATCTGAATGTGTTGTCCTAGACTTAACTCACCCCCTGCCATCGAGCTGATACTGGCTCACAGTGACCCTACAGGACAGGGTGGAACTGCCGCTGTGAGTTTCCCAAATTGTATCTCCTTACGTGCATAGACAGCCTCATCTTTCTCCCGAGGAGCAGCTGGTGGTTTCGAACTGCTGACCTGGTGCTTAGCAGCCTGACTGTAAGCTCCTGGTCTTAGACTCCGTAGAGGACGGTTTCTAAGATGGTCTACATTCCTTTCACTGAGCAGCCCCGCGTACTCATCACGGAGAGCAGGAGAGGACACAGACCCATACATGGGGTCTGGCAAGCCCCTGGTGGAAGAGGGGCTCCCGGGCCATTGCTCGGAGTGACCATCCTCTCTACCCACTGCCAGAAAGAAGTCCTGGATGGCGACACCCCTCCCAGCTACAATGGCTTTACGTCCCAAGTGGATAATTTGCGAAGGGCGTTCCTCAAGCGCCCAGGCTGCCCTCGCTTCAGTACCAGGGCCACGTCCATGTCTCAGTATGGTAAGAGCCACCATCGAGGGTCGCTGCTTCCCCCCGCCCCCGCCCCCCCATCATGTCAACCTGGGAGCAGCGGCTGGAACCCTGTGTGGGAGGAGCTTCTGAAGACACCCCCCCTCCCCGCTCTGTGGAAGGAGCAGCTGAGGCTTAGAGGAGGGGCAGAAGAGGAGGGGAGAGGGGAGGAGAGAGGAAGAAGGAGGAGGTAGATGTGGGGCAGGAGGGAAGAAGGACAGAAGGAAGAGGAGGGAAGTAAAGGAGAAGGATAGCTAGGTCTTGCTGCATATTATTATTTTCCCATCATTCTTGCCTTTCCCAAGAAAGATTCAGAAGAGTTGGGATAGGCCAGAAGGGAAGAAGCCTGAGGTTCCGGAAAGGTTAGGAAAGTTGGCTGTAAGGCCAAGCCCCAGTGGCTGCTGGGTTGGTTCCGACGGCTGGGGTTGTCCTGCAGGTCAGAACAGAGCTGTGCTCTGTGGGAGCCTCCTTAGCTGCTTTTCCAGCCTCTGTGTGGGCTCGAACCTCCAGCCCTTCAGTGAATAGTCCTGTGCGTCACTGCTTGCTCCACCCAAGGACCCGGCACTGGCTCGTGTAGCTTGCCCCTGTTGTCAGGCAGGGCAGGAGGCTCAGAGGAGGGCTCACATGAGCCAGGCCACACCAGAGCCCATCCACCAGCCCCCGCCCTACCCTGGGAGTGCTGGCTCCAGATCTGACTGGTTCCCTTTTCCCATGCACCTTATCCTACTTGCTGCTGTTCTTGATGGATGTAGCCGAGCCCATGTGGTTCTCAGGAACCCTGTGTGATACAGTAGAACCGGCCCCGGGCCTTTCTCAGATGCCAATGGATGTCGACCAATGGGTTTGGCCCGCCAACCTTTTGAGCTGCCAGTTGCAAAGCTCTGTTGTGGACAGTCTCCAGGCATGGTCTTGGATGTGGGGCTCTGTCTCTACAATGCACGGGCACTGTGGACCAGAAATTGGGTTCCCCTATGGGTGAGCCCAGTCTTGAGGCAGAAAGGTGTTGGCAAGACTTCTGGGATGAGCTGCTATGACAGACCAGAAAGTGGGGTCTAGTCTTCCTGAAAATGGAACAAGTGCTATTCTGCACCTATCGGGCCACTGGGAGGGGAGTCATCTCAACATCAACTAACAGTAATCGCCTGCGATAAGCCCCCTCCTGGCACCAAGGTCAGCTGACACTACATAGTCCACAAACATAGTGCTCTCTCCATCTTACAAACTCATGAGCAGCCATCTAAGGTGACCCTGCTGGTGGAGCAAAGGAGAGAGAGAGAGAGAGAGAGAGAGAGAGAGAGAGAGATTGAGAGAGAGACTGATGGGCCACAGGAACACCCAGAAGAACTAGATGGTGCCCGGCTGCCGTGACCCACTACTCCGAAAGGACACCCCCCCTCCCCCCACATACAACCTGTAGTCACCCTTCAGGCCTGGGACTGAACTCATCCCCAGGACCCGATTTTCAGGCCAAAACAACAGAGGGTCTCTGAGGGGGACAGTGACAGCTGTGAGGCATGCCCTCGTCAGAATAATCAACCGTTCTGAGCTCTAAGGGGAGACGGTTCCCCCAGGACGAAGTTCCAAAGCGTTAGGGGAGCGGGAGGGGGCAAAGTGAGACACGCAGGGGAAAGTGGGGGAGGTGGCGTAACACGCTGGAGACGGCCCTCGGGGACCTGGAACAAGCCACCTACAATGTGTCGGATGGAAGGCTGGTTTGTTTTGTAAAGCCAATTCACCACGGGTTTAAGAGGAAGGACAAAGGAGACAAAGGTGAGCTTATCAAACATGAATAGAATAAAGGACTCCCTCCTGAGGCCCTGTGGGGAGGAAAGGGGTTCCGGGTGACCAGCTGGCATTTTGAACTCTCTGCAGGGCTGAGCGTGGTGGCGGCTCTGCCCAGGGAGCTGGACGTCAGCACAGAGATGACGGAGGACTTCTCAAGCCATCAGGGCTCAGACACACACGTGGAAGGTGAGAGGGGGCCCTGCCCAGCGCTGGGGTGGGCCGGGTCCCTCCTGGAGTCTCCCCTCTTCTGGTCCCCAAGGTTGATGTCTCTGGCCAAGCTGGAGTGAATGCTTTCATCCTGACCGGGCCTGTGTCCCATCTGTAGGGACTCCGGGCTGCCTCCCTCCTTGAACAGATAGACCCATCCAACCTTGCCCTCCAATAAATGCAGTAGATACATTCCTTCTACCACATGACAACATCCACATTGAAGTGGATCCTTCGTAGTCTCAATGCCAAGGAACTGAGAGCCCTGGGGACCATGTGCCCTTGGGCTCGGGGGCCTATGTAGGCTCTGTGCCTCTGCTGCAGCCCCAGATGGGGACACCAGGCAGCCTCGGGGTGGCCCTCCTCTCCTGGCTGGGTTCCCAGGTTCGGCTCCCTCCATCAGAGAGTTTAGAAGATGCAGTGAGGCACCCGAGGGTCACCTGTGGTCACCACTGCTGCGCTCCTGAGACTGTGTCTGCGGGGAGGGTGGACTCAGCAAATAAGGCTGAAAGTGTGTGGATTTTGTGATTGTCTTAGTGTTTCCTGGAGACACAGAACTATGAGATAGATAGATAGATAGATAGATAGATAGATAGATAGATAGATAGATAGATAGATAGGTGGATGGAAAGAGAGATATAGGGACAGAGAAGATGGAGGGAGATTTGCTCCAGGGAATTGGCTCACACGATTATGAGGGCTGGCAAGCTCCCCGTCCACAGAGCTGCGATCCCTACTTGTAGTCTGGCAGCCGAACACATCCCAGGGGAGCTCCCTACTTACTCTCAAAGCCTCAGACTGGTTGGTTGCAGTAGACTCTATTATGGGAAGCGATTACAGTACAGAAACAATATGAGAGCCATTATAGAAAGTGATTCCATCGCATTACGTGACACGATTCCATAGCAGCATATTAGGACGCCTTGGAAAGCAATCTGTTTTGCTTGAGGCTGCGTCCCGATGCTGCTGCACTGGTTACATGCTGGGCTGCTAACCACCAGGTCAGCAGTTCAAAACCACCAGCTGCTCCTCAGGAGAAAGACGAGGCTTTCTACTCTTGCAAAGAGTTACGGTGTCAGAAACCCACAGGGGCAGTGCTACCCTGTCCTTAAGGGTCCCGATGAGTCTGCATCAACTCCTTGGCAGCGGGTTGGGTCCTTGGGAACACCCCCTGGAACAGCAGCCAGACGAGTGTTTCGTCAAACACCTGGGCACCACAGCTAGCCAGGTGGACAGGTGGAACGGACCACCACAGAGACAGAGGAGACCATAGGAACCCCATATTAGTGAGCGTGGCCACAGCAGAGGCCACGGGACCGCAGCCCAGGAAGGTCTCCCCTCCTGGTGGGGCACCAGGCACTGCCTCCACTCTGCTCTCCCCCCCACCTCCCACCCAGAGAGCCTCCTGTCCTTCAGCAAAAGTGCCTGTGAGTTCAATTACCTGCGGAAGAGGAGCAAGTCCCAGACAACGAGCGCAGTGGTCAGCAGCCCAGCCACCGTGCAGAGCCCGCCAAGGAAGAAGATGCCCTGGTACATCTCAGTGATCCACGAGAAGGTAGGCCAGAGGGCGAGGGGGAACCATGGCATGAACCCAGCCCCCCTCACCGCCCCCCACTCGCTCCACATCCTCCCCGCACTAATGCCCGGGTCCAGCACACAGTGGGAGCCAGGTACCTAGTGTCTGGTTAGCGGCATCCAGCAGCGCCAGCCACCCCCCACCCCCACCCCGGGGTGGCCTGTTACATGCTCCAGACCCACAATGTCACCTCTCGTGAATCAGACATGTCACTAATGTTCTGCGCCCCCCCGCCCCGGCAGCCTCACCGGGCTGGGGTGTGACACCCTCCAGGACAGCTTGCCAATATGTCCCCCGAACCTGACCCAGGCATCTTCCATGTAAACTAGTGACCCCACTTGGTAGGACAGACTCTGAAACATGCAAACCAGCAGGCGTGACGTGCCAAGGTTGGTGTCCATTTGTGTGTCACGGCTTTATGTTGCTTGTCACCCGTGGGACAGAGAGACTGGCCTACTACTCCTCCACCTAGCCATTCCTTGTTCGACCACACGCGCTCACACACCCACAAAGTAGGGAAGTGGCTCTCCTTTTTGCCTGGACAAGTGTGCGCACCCTGTTGGTGTGATTTCCCGCCAGGTCTGAAGCATCCGCCGTGGGGGCCAGCTGGGCTGGAGATTTCTTAGAGAAAGAGTTTCTTAGTTCCCTTTCTTTACAAAAACACATCAGTGGGTGGTTTCCGTGGGGGAGACACCTTGTTTTCCTAGGAATGTGCCCATTCCTAGAGGCTTTCAAACGGATCCGCTCCTGGTGGCACACCAGTGAAGCACTTGGCTGCTACCTGAAAGGTTGGTGGTTCAAACCCACCCAACGTCCCACGGGAGAAAGGCCTGGCCTTTTACGTGACAATGACAAGGGGCCAACCCTGCGGAAGCCCGTCCTGTGAGCCCAGGTCGGCGTGACAGCACCCAGCAGCCACCACCCTTATCTCTGGGCACAATGTCCATTCCTTATCTCTGAGCCAGAGGGGAGGGCCCCTTCCATTCCTGCTGCCGGTAACCTGAGGCTTCTCTCTTTCGTCCTTGATCAGTCCGGCTGGAGGTCGGTCAGTTTCAAGTCTTATCAGAGAATCAATGGGCTTATGGTTTTGTCCAATCCTGCTAGTACATGCTGGTTTTCCGTCTCCGTTTTTAGAAAGCTGGTTATCTTTTCCAATTAAGAATAAAGAGTGTTTAAAAGGTTGTTGTGTTGCTAGGTGCTATTCACCCATTCACACTTGGATCGAGACAAGAGTCTGTCCTTGCTCTAAGCTCTCTCCCTGACGCTTACCCCGTTGACTCACTCCCTGTCTGGCAGCTATCGTAACTCCTTCCTTCCATGTGTTCTTGACTCTGACCTCTGAATCTGTATGTGAGAATTCCCAAAGGCCCGATAGGGTGGATTGCATCCTCTCCCCTTCCGGCACAGCTGGTGCTGGGTATTAACAGTGTGAGTTTGCCCAGTGGCCACGAGGGTCCACTAGTCTTGTACCGATATCAGCCCACCGAACATAAAGGGGAATGGACGGAGAGAGACGCACTTGCTAGACTGGTCTTCCTCCCAGCAAGCCGGACTGGCGCAGCAGCTGAAACGGATGCTCTATCCCGAGGTAGAAAAGCACAACAGAGCCGAACTCTGTCCAGTCTGCGCCACCCCCACAGATGTCCTTAGGCTTGAGCCCAGTGTGGCCGCCACTGGGTCAGCCCATCGTGCCGAGAGGGCCTTCCGCTTTTTAGCTGCCCCTGGTAATTAGAGAAAAAATTAAGATTATGGAAATGAGTAACACATCATGGTGGGTATAGGGGTAGGGGTCACAGTGGAAGATACAATTGGGCAGATGGGGTGGGCCTGTGAGACATTATTTTCTTGTATTCCTGACACACAACATCAACATTTCTGATAGATTCCCATTCAAAACATGACTGCATTCTTTGACCAAACAATTCCACTGCTGGGACAGGGCCTGCAGACCTCAGGGAATAAAAACCTGTAGGTAGAGGGTGCCTGCTCACTGCAGGATTGTTCTTAACCTAGCTCATGCTCTGGAATGGGCCCACGGAAGGGCTGCAGGTATGGCTGGCTCAAAGAGCTCCAACAGCCTCAGTGTACGTCTCAGTTATCTAAGGCTGGGTATAAAACTCACAATTACATCAGATCATAGAGTGGGGATAATTACATAATATAGAGAATCATGACAGAGCCAAGTTGACACACACTTTGGGGGCGCACAATTCCATCCAGAGCAGTAGAGTTCTCTCCCCTCATCTCGGCTTCCTTCTGAGCTGGCTTCTTTCCTAGGGAACCCCTTCTCCTTTGGGTGTATGAGAGGCACGAGCTGCCACTAGTTTGTTTCTTGGAACTCAGTATCTCCGAGGCGAATGAGATCAGCTGCTCGCTCTTCCCCAGTAATCGTTGGACTCAAACGGGCCAGCATTGAGTCAATTCTGATTCATAGGGACCCGACAGGACAGGGTAGAACTGCCTCCGAGTTTCTAAGACTTAAAATCCTTACATAAATAAGCAGTCTCATCTTTTATCCTTGGAGTGGCTTGGTGGGTTCAAACTTCTGACCTTGTGGTTAGCAGGTGTGATGGGTAGGTTTATTGTGCCAACCTGGCCAATAGGAACATGTGGTATTAATAAGGTCCCAGTTTCATTGGAGGGCAAAGAAATAAATGGTTCAGCAAGTCACGCCCCCTTCTCTCTCTTGCTCTCTGATGATTGGACCAGCATGCGGCTGCTTTAGCTAGGGCTCTGCCTCAACTTGTGAGCTACACTACCTGTGGGGCTGCCAACCCGTGGATTGTGTCACTAGAGCTTGAGATTCATGCTGCTGGTGTATACATCCCTCGAGGATCCTGCATTGCTTGAGTTTGATATCCCATCTGGACCTGCTTCACTAAGCTCCTGAGCTGCTGTTGGTGACCCGCCTTGCTATTTGCTGCCTGTGGGCAGACTGCTTGCATTGCCTGAGGGAAGACTCAACTGTCTGCTTCTTTGACCTTGGACCCAGCAGCCCTAGTGAGTTGAAGGACTTCCACTATATATATATATATATTTATTTATTTTTTAACATTTTATTAGGGGCTCATACAACTGTTATCCCAATCCATACACACATCAATTGTGTAA